TCACATTTATGAATTCAATAAGCAACTTTTTAAAAAATCACACATTTAAAGAGAAAAATGATAATTTTCTGATGAAACACTAGAATTAGTTATTCAAACCACAAAATAGAAATATGTACAAAGTTTGAAAACATTGTAAATGTTGTACGCAAATTAAGAAAATGAAAACTAATAGGAATCATTGTTGCTTAGGGCTCCAGTCAGATAAAAGGCATGTGTACAATTGAAGCACAATGAGTAAGGGGGGGAGTCAGATTACATAGGGCCTTATAGCCTATTGAAAGTATATTGGCTTTTTTACACTGAGTGACATGTGAGCCATGGTAGAGATCTGAGGAGGCAAGTGACATGATGTTCATGTTTTAAATGGATAATTTTTCTCTGTTGGGAATGTACTATAGAGGGTCATGGGTGGAAGCAGGGAGACCAATCAGGAATTGTGGTAGTCCTAACAGTCCTACCATTATTGCAGTAATTCAAGTAAAACTTCAACTAGTGTAGTACAGTGGAAGTGGTAAGAAAGGGTCAGCTATTTCAAGTACCTTACTTTGAAGGGAGAGCCAGTAGGATTTCTTAATGAACTGAATATGGAATATAAGAGAGAGAGAAAGAGAGAGAATAGTGAAGGACTAATCCACAGTTTCTGACCTAAGTGGATGGATGGAGATACTGTCAACTGAGAAGGAGAAAACTTTTGGAGGAGCAGGTTTGGATGGGAATATCAGCAGTTCAGTTTGGTATACATTATTTTGAGGGGTCTACTGAACATCCAAAGAGAGATATTGATTACAAAGTTAAATATGAGTCTGAAGTTCAGATGTGAGGACTAAGCTGGAGATAAATTTAAGAAGTGTGAGCATACAAATGGAATTTAAAGCCATAGGACTGATTGCAAACAACAAAGAAGGTGGTGTAGATAGAGAAAAGAAGATGTCCAAGAACTGATCCCTGGGCCTCTCCAACATTTAGAGGTTGAGGACAGAAGGGGGAATCGTCAAAGAAGATTGAAAAGGAACAGCCTAAGAGGTAAGAGGAAAACCAGATGAATGCTGAGGAAACAAAAAAAAGTATTTCAAATTAGAGAGAATGATCAACTGTATCAAATGCTGCTGATAGGTCAATTAAGATGAAAACTGAGAATTGACCATAGAATTTAGCAGCATGAAGAGCTTTGGTGACACTGATAAGAACAGTTTTAATGGAAAGGTGGGATAGAACCTTGGCTGGAGTGAATTTAGGAGAGAAAGTGAGAAGAGAGCAACTGGAAACAGTGTATATAAACAAAATTATTGTGAGGTGCTTTGCTTCAAAGGAGAGTAAATAAAAGGAGTGGTAGCTAGCCATAGAGATAGGGTCAAGAGAAGGTTTTTGTAAGATGGGACAACATGTTTGTATGTTGCTGGGAATGCTAAAACAGAGCAGAAAATTATTGGAGCAATATCTGTGAGTAGGTGAAAAGGAACAGGATCTTATATACAAGTGGAAAGGTATGGACATGAAAAGTTCATCTATGGTGACAGGAAGCAAGACAGACTATGTGAGTGTAGATACTGAAAGTTAGGTAGGCCCAGTGCGGTGGCTCACACTGTAATCCTAGCCCTCTGGAGACCAGCCTGAGTAAGAGAGAGAACCCATCTCTACCAAAAACAGAAAAAATAGCCGGGTGTGCTAGCACACGCCTTGTAGCAGGAGGATCTCTTGAGCCCAAGAATTTGAGGTTGTAGAGAGCTATGATAACATCACTGCACTCTAGCCTGGGCAACAGAGTGAGACCCTATCTCAATCAATCAATCAATCAATCAATCAATAAAAGTTAGGTAGATGTGGTGGTGGGAGCCTACGGAAGTTCTCTCCTGATTTAATTTAACTCAGTAAATTTAGCAGCAAAGTCATCAGCAGAGAATAAAGATGGGGAAGAGTTCTAAGTTTGAGTGGCAAAGTAAAGGTGTCAAATAGTCATGTGGAGTATAGTTGAGGGAATGGAGTAGGAACATATAAAATGATTGTCTAAAAACACAAGAGCCCACTTGAAGCTTCAGAAAAGGAATCTGTGTCAGAATCATTAATAGGAGAAATCCTGGATTAGAATAGGCAAAACCTGGAGGACAGGAGGAAGATCAGTTAGGAGACTATTTCAGTAGCCACAAAAAACAATTAGAGAGGAATATTGTCTAAAGTAGGGCAAGAACAGCTGGAGGATAACTGAGGACACAGATATAACAGTTGTTATTATACAAAAGCAGAACCAATGGGATTTGACAAGCAATTAGAAGTAACTGGGAAAATGAATGGAGTGGAAGATGGTGCTGTAGTGTTGTGCTTAGAACTGGATATGGCAATGCCACTGATGAACTCAGGGAACTATTTCTATACTGCAAAAAGTTGTAACCAAATTGGTCAGCAACTTAAAGCTGTAAGTATAATTTCTGAGTAAAGAGAACAAAGATTTAAAAAGATTAAAAATTTATAATCTCAAGGAATATTTCTATTTTTGTTGTCATTGTTGTTTTTGTCAATTAAGACAGGACAACAGAGGGGCATCTAGGTGATCAGGAACTATTAACGACTGAAAAAAGAACAGGGCTTATTTGGTAAAGAAAGGGAATGCTACAAACGTTTAAAAAATTGTTTATATGGAAAGCTTAGGATGGGAGGCGGGTGAGGGATAAAAAGTTACCTATTGGGCACAATGAACACTACTCTGGTGACAGGCAGAGTTAAAGCCCTGACTTTAAGCATTATACAAGGTGTCCATGTAACGAAAACATTTTGTACCCCCTTAATATTTTAAAATTAAAAACAAAGAAAGCATATACACGAGGCACTATTTTAGTAATATCATTTCATTTGATCCTAAAAATAACTATATTAAATATATCCTCTTGTATCTTTTTACAGTTAAGAAAAATAAAATTTAGAGAACTTACATAACCTTCACAAGGTGATGCGATTAAGGTCAAAGCCAGAAGTCAAACCCAAGTCTGAATGACCCCAAAGTTCAAGTTCTTAACCACTATACAATACATGCTCTGTAAAATTAAAGGCCTTGGAACAGTAGTATAGGTTGTTTAGCTTCCAAGGAAAATTTCAGAGTTAAAGATCTTAGAGGTGGAATTGTTCCAAAGAATGACACAATCCAAGGTGTGGTCTGAAGTTCAGGAAATTTCACCCCAAAATATGACTCCTTGGTATAAAGAGTATCTTGAATGAAAGGCCCTTAGAGATCAACAGGCCCTTCAAGAGGTGCTCCCTCTATCTGCATAACCAGATGGACTCAAAAGAACAACTAACTTCCGTTCCCTGTTATCTCAATATATTATAGGGAAAAAAAAGATCAAGATTGCAACCAGACCCGACCCAAATCATTTTAAATATAATACCGTCTCTCGGGTTAATTTAATTTGCAAAGAGATCATTTACAAGTCAATCTGTTTACCCCATCCATTCATCCTCCCTAGCAACCATTTACTGCCCCTAAACAGAATTACCTATATTCCTCATCGCCCCTCCCTTCTAAAAGGACGGTACAAAAATATCTGGATCCCATTGGGATACTGGGTAATCACTCTGTGATTCTCCCCATGCCCATGGTAATAAACTTCTTCCTTTTATTAATCTCCCTTAATTGTGAGTTGATCTTTCAGCAAACTTTTGGGATAAAGGAAAAGTTTCCCCTTACCCCCACAAGTCATACCTATAATTAGCTAAATATACAAATGCAGAGGTTAGAGTTTAGGATATCATGAAACTAAGAGCAAAAATGTATTGAAGGGGTTATCAACATAGTAGTTGAAGTCACCAAAATGAATAGCAAGGGAAAAGGACAAATGGATAGCCAGGTGCTATCATCATCAAGGAAAGTCAGCAGGTAACAGACTTCACAAGGGAAAAGGTTGTTGAAAGATGGTTCAAAAAAGATGGCATGGAGCTAGCAGCAAGAAAAAGGGTACACCATGGGACTAGGAGGAATAGTTGAAGAGGGTGAAAATGCCAGGACTTGTTCCAGGGGAAAAGCTAAATGCCAGTTGTGGCTAGACAGAAGGAATAATCAAGGAAAAGTTTAAAGATAAATGGAATTTTTGTTTGTATACTTACAACAACTTTCAACAAATATATCTATTAAAGGCCTACTAACTCCTCTAGGTGCAGGAGAGAAATTACAGGGGTGGAGAAAGGGGTAGTGGACAAGATGTTCCACAGTAGGCAGAGTAGACAGATCTAGATTTCACAGATCTTAAGCTTTTATTTTGGTGTAAGGGGACTTTTGAAACTCTTGTAGACTCTAACTATAGATAAATGGACATCCACAGAAAACTTATGGTGATAAGTGGGATAGAATTTTAAATGAATTGAATCATGAATCAGGATCTCCAGTTCTTCTCTGGTCAAGCTAGCCAGCATAATATGGCCCAGTGCTTCATTTCTCCCCTCTTCTACCATAAACTGCTGAATACTCAAAATATTATTTGATAACCTAAGAAATAATTTAGACTACAAGCTATAAAACATAAGAAACATACTAGAAAATGGAGGTTGTATGACTGTTGCTAATAGAACAAACCTGGATAAATTAATTTCTCTGTTCCCTCTACTGTCTCTTAGCCTCTGCTCTTCCAATTCTACTTCGCATACCCAACAAGAGGCCTTGTGCTGTTTTCAGCAAAGTGGATATAGGCCTGTTTTGCTTTATAGAAACAGGCGCACAAATTAGTTAATTGAAAAATTGATTCAACGTGCCAGAGACTACTAAAATTAGAGAACAAAGATAAATAAAACTGCCCCTACTTTTAGGAGTTCATAGTGGAAGAGATAGACAGTTAAGGGTGTTTTAGCTCAAAAAACAGATACTTTGGCAGATAGTTCTATTGTATCAACAAGTTTCTGGTGTCTGCTTTACATAATATAAACACAGTCTACACAAACACACCTACTTAAAAAACCTAGTGCTATTCGAGGCACACACATTTTAAAATTACAATAAAATTAGGCATCTAACTTACCATCATTTTTTCAAAGAGATCCAGTACTTCCTTTTCTGACAAATTCATGGATCGTTCATCATATAATGGCTGAGCTGCAGGAAACTCACTCATCGCGACTTGAGAATCAATAGGATGTTGAATAAGAGGTTTTTCTTTTTTGACAGTAGATTTTCTAAAACTTGTAATTCGGTCACGCTGCAAACAACAACAACAAAAAAGTCCTAAGAAAAAGATCAAGAACCACGAACATGAAGAACTGAAACATCAAAATGGCATTTAGTATAATATATATCATTATCATCTTTTGACAAAATGTTATTTTAAGCAGCAAGCTCCAGTTAGAGATTGTACTATTTTGAAACCTGAAAGTAGCTCTTCAGCCTCAGAAGTCTGGCAGTGAAAAGTATTCCTCAAAAGTAAAACTTATTCCCTTGTCATTTCTGTTTTGCACAGTAAGTCTGTAAAAAAAAGTCTCGGATCAAAGTCCTGCGGGTTGTTTCAGGGAGAATGTGTCTTTGGTGGCAACTTTAAAACTATGAAAAAAAGAGAAAAAATAAAATAAAAAGAGCCACTGATACCTAATTCTAAGGGAAAATTATTGCAATGTTTCTCTTCTTCAAAGTGGCAAAAGTGGCGATAAGTATATGTGAAAAATCTGTCAGTGTAGCAGTAGAGTAGTTAAGAGCATGGACTCTAAAGCCAGACTACCTGGATTAGAATGCAGGCTTTGCCATTTACTAGCTGAGTAACCCTGTGAACAGTCTCTCTCTGACTGTTTCCTCATCTCTGAAATAAAGATAATCACATTACTTACACCATAAGGTTATTGTGAGATTTAAATAAGTTAACATGTTTATTGCCCTCAACTGCTATTTATTATTATTGCTGTTGTGACTATTATTATTTTCCCC